AACAAACTTTCTGGTGAGGGATTTAATTATGCCTTAATAAAATGTCCATGACTTCAAAATAAACTGGAATAAATGTGCAAGTACATTTGTATAGTAGTGCTTCTCTCATATTTGTTTGATTTTATTGCAAAAAGTAAAATAATAATAATCTAACAAGAATATCATGAATCTCTGCAAAAAAGATTTGAACTAATTTTTCAAATGAAATTATAAATAATATCATTGTACAGCTAATACTCAACATTCATTTTTGAGGTGTAACGAAGGTTGGCTAGACCACAGCTATGAGGAACATGTTTCTGGAAAGCAGTAGCTGAAAAGTAAAAACCAAATGATGTTCTAGCTCAATTGACTTAGTCAGTGGAAGAAATATATGGAATCTAGTAGAGAAAAAGGAATGAATTCTTGACATATTTCTGCATATCACTCATTCGTTCTGGTGTCTGTAATTGAGTTTAGATTATTTATGCTAGGTAAAAATATAGATATCTGATACATGCTTGACTTTTAATGATAGAACACAAAAATGTAAAGCAAATAAGAAAAATGAAAAGCAGAGTTCAGCTTCCGCGGGAAGAGAGCCCCTGAGCTCTCTTTCACATGTTATTTGATCCCTATATGATTGGATCGTGTCTCTGGAGAAAGTATTCATACAAAAAAATTATGACAATGGCCTTTTTAAACTGATTGTTCAAAATTCAACGCAGGGGGAATCAATAAAATATTGTTGTTAGAGTAGGCCATCTGCTGGAACATAGAGATAGCTTTGTTCTGTGTTAAGGGTTTATCAGGCTCTTTCTGGTCATTTGTGGTAATCCAGTGTATTTATTATTAATAAGTAAATCAGAATGTCCCATTTTGGGTGAAAATAGAAGTTTGGCTGCTAAATAAAAGAAATGTATCCCTGAACTTTTGACAAATTGTGAGACATCATTTGCACTGGAAACAAAAATTTGAACGTAGACCTGGAAGTTGGCACTGTCAAAGTTAAAAGTGAGCTATTTCTGTATCATCTGTGAGTTCCCTTCACGAATTCTTAATGTGAAAAATAGTGTCTTTCAAGGTTGTACCTAAGAGTAAGGTGGCCAGAAGCCTAAATCTATTTTGATCCTGAAAAAAATATACAAGTGTATCAAAGCTTGATTTTTATCATGTTGCAATTGTTAGCTATTTCTCAGTAATAGAAATATCATCGAAATCTCTAGGCTAAACACTAGGGCAACTAGCAATGAGCACAACAGGAAATTTTATTTTCCTCTTTGATCTTCAATGCAAACAGTAGGAAGAAATCCCAGATCTATTCAGATATAAGCAGGTAATGGTTAACTATTGACCTTTCCAACAATAGAGAGAAATATTAACAGGTGAATATTATGAATCGAGCTTCATTCAATGCACAGCTGTAGTTATGTTCTTTTGCTTCCACTTTCTTTGTGTACATTTTAGGTTTATTTTTATTCATAAGCAGAATTTGTGTAGCTAAGGAAAATAAAATATTTTTGTTGTTCCAGTGATTTTATTTGCTTTTCTCTCAAAAACCTTTTAATAGTGATTTGGTCCCAATGTCAGTAAAGCCCACATCAGGAATTGTAAGAGGGTTGAAACCTATAGGTAGGAAACATAATATTTTGTTTCATGTTAGCACAACTGGAAATAGAGGTTTAAAAGAAAAATTTCAATGTGACTTGCATGCTCAATTTTACTACATTGTGATTTTGCAAATCAGATCTATCTCTGAAAAGAATCTGACAAAGAATTGTTGGCTAAAAGCCAGTATGACATTTGCTTCTAGAAAAAAAAATATATCTATATATATGTATATATGTATGTATGCTGTTGTGCATTATTATACATTTTTATATCTAGGTTTCTATTTCTCCTTTATCCCCTTAGGACTTCCCACCCAAGAAATATAGGCTAATCTTGGGCAGTGATCCTATGTCAAATGAGTGTATTTTAAGTGCCTAAATTCTTTTCATAACACCATGTGAAAAGATTACAATAATGATTATTGAAAAACTGAGGGAATACTGTCATTTGCATGTACTTCTGTTGTGCGTTGTAGAATGCTGCTAAATGACAAAACAGAGATGACTGAAGTGGTTCCATGTACAGAGAGTGAGGTAAAACCTGAGACCAGCTATATAAGTTTTATAGCCATTCCATGATTGAGATGACACCCGATAACTTTTTTACCAAAGGACCAAATACTCTTTTTGAAGCAGTGTTTATGACTCTGCAATAATCGTTTTATAAAATTTGGCAGAAAATAAATTAAGCAAGTATCTTCATGTACTATATTAAATTTTTAAAATTATGATTAGACCCGTTCACTTAATAGATCCCTGAAGTTCAGCATAATGCTTAAACAATAGATTAAATAGTATGTCTTTTAATAAACAGTTCAAACAAAAAAGTCATACAATTTATGTTAATATATGTTCACCCAATAATTTAAAAATTGCCAATACTTCATAACGTTTTAAAACCTAAATATCGGCTGGGCGCGGTGGCTCACGCCATGTAATTCCAGCATTTTCAGAGGCCGAGGCAGGAGGATCACAAGGTCAGGAGATTGAGACCATCCGGGCTAACACGATGAAACCCCGTCTCCACTAAAAATACAAAAAACTAGCCGGGCGAGGTGGCGGGCGCCTGTAGTCCCAGCTACTCGGGAGGCTGAGGCAGGAGAATGGCGTAAACCCGGGAGGCGGAGCTTGCAGGGAGGCTGAGGCAGGAGAATGGCGTAAACCCGGGAGGCGGAGCTTGCAGTGAGCCGAGATTGTGCCACACTGCACTCCAGCCTGGGCGACAGAGCGAGACTCCGTCTCAAACAAAAAATAAAAATAAATAAAATAAAACCTAAATATCTATTACTTATGTTTGCCAAAGCCAGTGCCAAAGTGTGAATATATTTAAGATTTATAGTGGGAACTGTAATTTTCCAATACACTTGATCAAAAAGGAACTGGTAATAAGATAAGATGCATTTAATAAGAAACCTAGAAAAATGAGGACTACATCAGAGGCTGATTAGCCTGTTAATCGTCCTTCATTGCTTTTCCTGTTTCTGTTCTTATTCTAATCACTTTATCCCGTAGTCTAAAACTGCTATATAAAACCTAGCCTGTGGAGCTACAGCATAGGATTCATCTAAGAGTTTGTTTAAAACGCACAATCCCAGCTCCCACCCCAGACCTACTGAATCAAATTCTGTTTTTAACAGGATTCATATGTGATTCATTTAAATGTTAATGTTTGAGAAGCACTCACTTTCTGACATGGCTCAATCAAAGACCGCAACAGAAATCTCAAAAAGATGTAAAAAAAAAAAAAAAAAAAAAAAAAAAAAAAAAAAAAAAAAGCTAGTATGGCATACCATGGTCTGATGTAACTGAAGGACTTTCATATAAATTAATCTTTTCAAAAATTTATCTTTTAAGGATATATTAGATTTCTATTGCTGCCACAAAAAATACTACCAATGTATTATTATCTTACAGATAGGTCTGAATTTCTGTACATCAGAAGTTCAGTATGTGTCTCACTGGGCAAAGTCAAGGTGGTGGTGTGAACAGGGCCATATTTCTTTCTGTATATTCTAGGCAGGGAATTGCTTTCTGGATCATTTAGGTTGTGAGCAGATTTCAAGTCCTTGCAGTTGTATGGGCGAGGCCCCTGTTTCCTTGCTGGATGTCAGCTTAAGGACTACTCGCAGTTTCTAGAGGCTGCCTATGTTCATTGTTTATTGGTTTGTGGCTCCATTCCTTCAGCTTTAAAGCTAGCGACAATGGGTCAAGTATTTCTCATTCTTCAAATCTGTTCTCTTTTTTTCTTCTGTTTCATCTCTCTAAACCAATTTTCTGCCTTCCCATTTCACTTTGTTTGTTTGTTTATTTTTGAGAGGCAGTCTCACTCTGTCACGCAGGATGAAGTGCAGTGGAGCCATCTCAGGTCACTGCAACCTCTGCCTCTGGGGTTCAAGAGATTCTCTTTCCTCAGCCCCCCAAAGTAGCTGGGACTACAGGCGTCCGCCACCATGCCCGGGTAATTTTTGTATTTTTAGTAGAGACGGGGTTTCACCATGTTGGTGAGACTGGTCTCGAACTCCTGACTTCAGATGATCCACTCACCTCTACCTCCCAAAGTTTTGGGATTATAGGCGTGAGCCACTGCGCCTGGTCTTCCTATTCCACTTTTAAGGGCTCGTAGGATTAAACTAGGCACGCCTTGATAATCAGGGTAATTCTCTGTTTCAGTGTTTTGAACCTGAATGACATCTGCAAAATTACTTTTGCTGTGTAAAACAACATCTTCACAGGTTCTGGGGATTAAGGTATAGACATCTTAGGGAGAAGAGATATTATTTTGCCAACTGCAGAGTGCTACAAAGCTTACAATGACGTCTTCCGCATACAGCCCTGATGAGAAAGTCACAGAACTCTGTGGTGATATAACATTTCATTTTGATTTGAAATAAGTTGGAGGGATAGATTAGAGGAAGCCCTTGATTCAGCTGGATGTTCCTTGAATAAAAAGCCATTCAAGAGCAATGTATTTTATAATAGCCTTCTCGATATTTGCTTATAGAGGACTCGTGACACAGTTATGTATTTTTTAACATACTTTCGATGTACTCATTACTATTGGCTCGGTCAAGTTTAACATTACTGTTTAATGTGTCTCAAGCACTGCAGTAGGCCTATGATAGGATAAGTGAACCAAGTGATACTTAAGAACTCACTTTAACAGCTGCCACCGGGATACATGTGCATAAATAACAGTTCTAAAGTACACATGGCTGTGGAATAGTAAGTGGAAAGAGTCAAATATATGAAATTGTTCAAATAAGAATTCCATAAAATAAAAATTCAAGAAAGTTGTTAGCATTTTACAGTTCATGTATTTGTCAGATCATTGTGGAAATTACCTATAACTTTCAGAAAGAGTAGAACTAGTAACCTTAGAAGAATGCTGGATTTATGAGTCTCTTCTGCCAGGTACTCTGTTGATCGGCATACTGATATGGACCGTATTTTCGGCATCCACTCAGAAAATGGCTCTATCTTCACTTTGAAAGCCCTTGACCGAGAATCATCTCCTTGGCATAACATCACTGTTACAGCCACAGAAATAAGTAAGTCAGAGCTACATCTACCTGAACACACCGTCTTTCATCAAAGCGGTAAAATAATAGCACTAGCTAGACTCATTTTCTTGAGTGGTATGATTGTATCCTTAGCAAGATCTTAGAGAAATGGCTTAGAATGTCAACACATTTTTAAATTGTTTTTAAGGATTATCAAATAATTCATTCATTTCAAATTTGCTTTTCTTTTACACCTTATATAAGAGAGAAATATAATTTAACCTCATAAAAATAATCTAAGAAAATTATCTATTACAAATAATACCTCATTCTCAATTATGTTTTCCTCAATTTCATTGTGCTTTTCATTTGGACCATGTAAGAGAGCTGAGATATTCATCAGCAGCCCAATTGAGAAAGTGAACACCACAAAAAGGATCTGTTGCTAAGCTACAAATGGGTGAGTGGTTTCACTGCTTCTGTGTAAATGAGACTGAAATCTTACACATGTTCTCGTTGCAGATAACCCAAAACAAAGTAGCCACATCCCTGTCTTCATCAGAATTCTAGATATAAATGACCATGCTCCGGAATTTGCCATGTATTATGAAACATTTGTTTGTGAAAATGCAAAACCTGGGCAGGTAAATAAAATCATTAAAAACTTAAAAGAATATATTTTCTCTTTACAAAGTCAAATGACATTACATCACTTTATTTGCAGGATTTCTTTTGTGCAAACTATTGTCAATACTTCTTGTCCACCATTTATTTATCCTTAACAAAGAACTCACAGTGATTTTTTAAAAAGCCATTTAAAAATGTTTTTGTAATGTAATCAATAATATAGTAGGGAATATTATAACATAGGTTTTAATTTATATACTAGGTTTATAGTGAGTATCACATATGTAGAAGCTGTTACGTACATTCATAATTATGCTTATGCTGAGTTATCTTCACTAATAGAATGAAAATATATCATTAAATAACACATGAAGTATGAAAATGAAATTGTTTCATGTTACTATAAAGGTAATCATAATCATTGTTTTCTTGATTACATTTTGCCACTTTTAATAGTTTTAGGAGATTTTGATATGAGTGATATTCTGTAAGTTTTAAACTTTAAAGTTTCATATCATTGAAATGAAGTAGATTTGTATGTAAAAGAATTAGGAAGTCTTCTTACAAAGTAATTCTTTCAAATGTATATAAAGTAATTCTAAGTAAATGCAGAATATGCTCATTTTTGACAAAAATATAGTATTTTTCTATAACAGTAACTGCATACATTTTACCCAAATTAACTTAACCATTTAGTTAACTACTTTGAAAATAAAATAGGTAGATGTTAAGAATCATCTATAATTCCATCATGTCTCCTTAAGGTAGAAAATAATCTAAAATACAGGTTTTCTTCTATTCTAATAGAGAATATTATGAACTGAATGCTTGTGGCCCTCCTCCAAATTCAAATCTTGAAAATGCAACCCTAGTGTCATTGTATTTGGAGATGGTGATTCAATGAAGTCATTAAGATGAAGTGAGGTTATAAGGGGATAGATCCTGATCTGATGGGATTAGCATACAGAGAAGAGATAACAGAGAGCTCATGCTCTCCCTTTCTCCTGTCCCTGAATTCATGGACCAAGGAAAAACCACATGAGAGCACTCAGGGAGAAGGCAGCTATTAATATATTAGCAAGCCCTCACCAGAAGTCAACCACACTAGCCTCTAGATCTCAACCTTACATTCTCCAGAACTGTGAGAAAATGCATTTCTGTTGTTTAAGCCATTAAGTGTGTGTGGAATTGTTATGGCATCCCAGCTGACTACGACAGAGATACATAACACATTCCACCTACATATACAAAAATACAAATGAGATTTTTGTTTGTAATAACATGAAATTGTTACATAGCTATTTAGATAAAAATTTGCTTTTCCTCTTTATTTTACAACATACAATGGGCATCTCAGTTTAGTAAATGATTTTTTGAATTTGATGCTTAATATTCATAGCATAGTTACATTACTACTTATTCAATTACTTCCTTCTTAATGGAAATTTGGTTTCACAAAATGTTACCCTAGCACTATCCCAGTCATACTATAATGAGCATTGTAGTACATTTTGCTTGTTTACCACCTGGTACTACTTTCCTTTGATATAATTCTCAAAGTAGGAATAATTAAATTATATCTATAAATATTAATAAATATTCCCGAATAGTTCTCCAAATCTGTCATAAACTAGGTGATATTCCCACCAAATAACTATGATTGCCTACGTATTTGGCAACCCTAGATTTTAAATATCTGCCAATATGTAAATTTCTCATAACACTTTTAGTGTGAATTCTTGTAAACTCATTAAGGCCAAACATTTTTTTTTCATACAAACATGGACTTAAAAATAATTTACAGCTGTATTAGTTCCAAAGCTTGCCATGACAAATTACCACAAACAGAATGACTTAAAACACAGAATTTTATTTCTCATAGTTTTGGAGGCTGGAAGTATAAAATCAACATGCAACGGGGCTGTACTCTCTCTAAAAGCTCTAGGAGACTATCCTCCCTTGGCACTTTCTAGCTTCATGAGCTTGCCAGCCATCCTTGACATCTTTTGGCTTGTGGACACCAATTACTCCAATATCTCTCTCCATCATTTCATGGCATTCTTCCTGTATCTGTTTCTGTGTCCAAATTTGCTTCTTCTTATGAAGACTCCAGTCATTGAATTAGAGTCCCCTCTAATTTAGAATGATCTTATTTTAACTTGATTTTATCTGCAAAGAGCCTATTTCCAAATAAGTCACATTCACAGGTACTGGGATTTAGGACTTGAACAGATCTTTTGGGGGAGCACAAGTCAAACTACAATCACCTATAAATATTCTTTACTCACATAGCTATTAGTATGCTTATCTTTTACTGATTCATGTGTGTTATTGATATATTATACGCTAATATTTTATAAAAATTAAGTATAATTTATATTAACTAATTATAATTATTTAATACATATTACTCATTGAATTTAACCAAGTTAAAAATAAAATGGATATTAAGTATATGTATATCCTCATAAAATATACTTATACAAAGCCCATCCAATAATTTCAAGGCCTCAAATGTCATAGAATTAAAAGATCAACTTTTTATGATTTAAATTATTACTAAAAGTAAGATTTGTTATTGCTATTTAGGAACAGAAGGTTGAGCAAAATATTAGATCTTATATAATTATTTTCTTATGTTCCAATTTTCTAAAGAGAAAAGTTTATTAATTTTTTGTTAATAATTGTACACTTTCAAAAGGACTTTATTAAAAATACAGTTACATATCACCCTGTCAAAATGACATAATTATCATTAATATAAAATTAAAGTGAAAGTAGCACTGACTAGTGAGTATGTAGGTTAGTATGGTTATAAAAGGTATACAGTGAAATAATGGAAAGCTTAAACTATTGTGAATTTCAATAACTGTGCACCACATAATGTTAGACTATGAAACCTGTTTGTTTTTGTAGAACAGAACGTTAAAATCAGAGTAATTAAATGACTGTGATTTCAAATCACACAGATGAGAGGCACCCAAATGTGTAGCTCAGTGTTTTTTCCACTATAAAATGCTCAGTGAAATTTTTTTTGCCCAACCCATAGTTGGCTGTTCCATATTCCATTAGGGCACACTTCTTATTTATTTACACTAGCTCAGCCAACAGGTGTTCTAATTTTGAAACCTCAACATTGATTGTACAAAATCTTAAAAGTATTTCTTTGTATATCTGTCTTTGCAAATACTATTAAAGGAAAAGCAAGCAATTTAAGTAAAATAGTTAAGTTGTAGTAATGGTATCCATAGCTTCAAAATCATTTTCTTTCTGATAGTACATGACAAATTGATTTATTATTTTAAAAATATATTAATAATGTTAATATATAGGAGTGATTGCGCTAAGCATTGGTGTTTTAAAAAATGCATCTTCTATGTACTCATCCTTTGAAGAATTATTTTCTAGTGGATGTAACGGATTGCTCATCAATTAATAATAAAATGGGCTGTGCCTTTCAACAATATCAAAAGAGGATAGGTATTGCAGGGATTGAATTTTTCTTTAAGCTGGCCAGGTATAAGACAATAATGCTTTAAGATGCCTTGAAAACCATTGGGCTTACTGGGTGTCTTTCACTCTTAACTAAATAAGTTACCTAAGACAAAACCATAAAAAATAAGGCATTGGCCTAATTTTCTTTAAATGGCATTTATTTTGTTTTGTTGCTTTGTTTTTGTGATGTATTTAAAGCACAAATACATGGATTTAAGATATCGTCTAATAACAAGAAAATTGCCTTAGGCTTAATTAATTAATTTATTTATGTTGCTTTCAGTTGATTCAGACTGTCAGTGTCATGGATAAGGATGACCCTCCCCGAGGTCACAAATTCTATTTTGAACCAGTGCCAGAATTTACTCTCAATCCGAATTTCACCATTGTAGATAATAAAGGTATAAGAAAATTTCTAAAACTAAAAATCATGAAACTTTAAGATACATAGTTAAAAACACATATGAAAGTTTTTGGTTTTTTACATGTTTTTCTCCACCAGATAACACAGCAGGAATCATGACTCGAAAAGATGGCTACAGTCGCAACAAAATGAGCACCTACTTATTGCCAATTTTAATCTTTGACAACGATTATCCGATTCAAAGCAGCACTGGCACACTCACTATTCGGGTGTGTGCCTGCGATAATCAAGGAAACATGCAATCCTGCACGGCAGAAGCCTTGATCCTTTCAGCCGGCCTGAGCACGGGAGCTCTCGTTGCGATTCTCCTCTGTGTCCTCATACTGCTTAGTAAGCTCTGTCCCTCTGAATGATCCTTTAATTCACAAAAATCTCTCCCTCACGGTCCGAGGATGGTGCACTGAATAACACTTTTCTCTACAGATAAAGATAGAACATTTTCACTTTTTATTAAAATGGTTCTTTCAATTAGGAAAAAGTAAGAGTTTTTGTGTGTGGGGATAGTCCCAGCTTTCCAGAGACCAAAAATAAAGATCTAACAAATGCTATACACATGTGTATTTAAAAAATATATTTTATATCATTTGGTATTATATCTTTGACTTTGTTCACTGTTCTAAGGGCATTTGATTTCATTGATTTCATCTTTCCATCAACTGTATAAGGTAAATACTTTTCTTCTAGAGAAAGGCTACATAATTTACTCAAAGTCACTCATTTAGAAAAGGCTTTAGCTAGCATTCAAACACAGATTACTATAGACTTCTCCTTTCTATTATTCCCAAATTAAAGACTACGTTGCCCTTACAAATAACAGTTACTAACATATTCTGAGTTATCTATCTCAGATGTCTGACATGCAAATGCATTAAAGTTGTCACAGTTAGACATTTTCCCCTATATAGCTTGTTATACATTGGTGTGACATATTAAATTAAGAAGTTAAAGTTCTGTTTTAAAAATATCACTGTATCACTGTGGTCATACCTAGCCCTGCAATATTTTCTAAATAAAGTCATGTTCCAACAGCTAATGTTTTATTTGAACATGCACTAACAGGACAACGATTTAATTCAATTAAACAGTTGTTCCACTGGAAAACATTCCAAAAAAAAATTGTTTCTATCAAATATTCAGCCCAAATGCTTATGCTTAGGGCAGGGGAGCTAGCCAAATTTATGTTCTAATGCTCATATGTGCTGGCTCCTTTTCTCTGCAAATCCTTTCAAGCTATCTGGATGAAATCCCTTTGGCCAGATATCCTTGCAGGACTTCAGTAGGGGATTGATGAAAGTGGGGAAAAAACATTTGTCTCAGTTAAGACGATCCAACTATTTAGAAAAACATTTTCTCAGTGTGGTTTAGAACAAATACACTGCCACCACCGCCATCAGCAATTTCAATCCCCACCTACTGCTAGAGGGTTCAACTCCTTTGTAAAATATTTTTGTATCCCTATGGAGATAAAAATTTGGCTTAGCCTTTTAGCTAAGTGCTACTGATTTCACGTTGTTTTATTCACTCAGGAAGTTCCACTTTCCTAATTTAGAACCACATGAAAATACGTTATTGTTAGATCATTTGAAAAATTTCTGTATTAATATAATGTACATACACACACAAAGATAGTCATGCACACATAGGGAACCGAAAGCATCCCCCCAAGTAAGTTTAGATATTTGAACATTCTCAAACTAAATTTGATACTATTTTTTTCTATGCAGAAATCCTAGAAAGTTTCTTCTTATATTCTGCAAAGTCAGCCACCTTTGTTCCTTGAGCAATATGGAAAGCACTAATGTCTTATTTTTCACTTTCCCAGTTCATTGCCTAAATGTGGAGTAATTTTCTATTATTGTAGTTAAAATTGCTTCTAATTCAGAAATTTATATTTTCAAAGTTACTAAAGCACTTTATTGTTATTGTGAGTCTTTATGGTAATGGCTGGACATAGTTACTGCATTTCTATAGTTAAGAGAGTTTGCTTTTTATAAGATAGTGACATAACACTGACAATAATATTTTAAATGTACTTTCATACATTTTGAAGAAATCTAACTCTTAGCTTATATCTGTTTTATAAGGCAAGATGGAAGATTAAAATCTAGGGCTGGGATTTTAAACTTTTTGGTTGTAGGGACACTTTTGGCAGCCTGATGAAGCGAATGGACCTAGCCAGAATGACGATTTAAATTTATTAGAGTAAAACATGTAAGACAAAAAGGAAATACACTTACACAAATGAAATAAAAAACACGAAGAAAACTGTGCTTGCTTATCAAATCATGCATGCCATGTTCTGGAGCAAGTCTAACTATGGTTTGATTTATCTGTCAAACTGTGATGCAATATAAAATATCTGTCACACATATTGCCACTATCACCATAGTTTATGCCAATAATCCTATTGAAAAGAAATGCTAAATTTGAGTTACAGATGGATGGAAATAATGAGGTACTTTTTTTTTTATTTCTTATCCTATTCTTTCTGAATTCTGTTCACATGTTCCAGATTAATAACCTCAATCTAAGAAATGATCTGATAATATTAATATTGTAGAAAAGGAAAGCTCAGAACAGATTCTACGGACCATTTGTGGGAATTAGTAAGTTTGTATTAGTTAAGGAAACCTTAATACTTAATAATTGACTACACAATTGTTATTTTATTGATTAAAAAGTAGATAACTTATAAATTTATTTAACCTTAAATTTAGAAAGAAATCTCTTTTTCTAGTGTGTGGCTGAAATTTGATAGATGTCAGATCCATGTTGGACTTAATTAAGCGTATGTCCATCTTTTAAAAGGAGAGTATAGAGGTCTCATCTTTACTGCAGTTTTCTTTTTTTAATATCTCTAAGGTGATCCTGAATATAGCTCAGCTCCCAAAGCCCATTCTGTGAAGTCTAACTACTGATACTTCTTTATCTTTCGTAATTATATTTAATTATCTTTAATTATCTTTCATAAAATCTTACTTTTACGACATTAAAGATAATCTTTAATTATCTTTTGTAAAATCTTACTTTCAGTTAGGAAGAGCTGAGAAAAGTTTGCTGGTCAATATGAAAATAACATTGGACAGGGCTTTAGTATAGTTATAGGGGCCTTACGGGCCATGTTGAAGTGTAGTCTCAACGACAGTGAGTATGCTTTGTTTAATCTCGATGTAACAATTCAGAAAAGGAATAATAGCCAACATTTTCTTATTTTCTGTGAAGCATAAATAATACCGACACACAGTTAAGTTCCCTAAAGTAAAGGAAACCTAGTTTGTGTTTTTCCCTGGTAATGCTGAAGTGTGTTTTGATGATATTTTCTTGATTTTATTCTCACATTTCTTATATGTAACATTATGGGTTTGTCCAATTTTTAATGGAAAATTTGTATTTTGAAATCGTGTTTGCTTCTTTTTAAATGAATGTTATTAATTGCAGCATGCATTTATTAGAAACAAGGTTCATCTTCCAGTACACATAATTTGAATTCCAGTATTATAATGAGAAATAAGAAAATATATTATACAAAGAGAAGTTCACAGTTAACTTTGTAACAGGCATGTAAACAATAAAAATAATACAGTAAGTAGAGGGAATACAATTAACATTTCATTCCAAAAGTTTAAATCAGACCTTGTATGTCAAGGAAGTCCTCATTAACAAGATACAGTCTGAGGTGTTTTGTAAGATAAGTTAAAGATGAGTTTGAATTTCATGTTGTAACTTTCAGAGTTATAGTTCAGCTTTCTAAGCCCACTACAAAATTAGACCAGTAAAGGAATTTAGTTAAACCTATGAGATTTGGGAAGTGATAAAATCAGTGACACATACATATTCATGACATATTCATGTGTGTGCATATGTACACGCATCATATAGGAATATAATGCATATACAAATATATATATCTATATATGAGTAATGTTTTGCATATATTCCCTTGAATCATTAAGAAATGATACTTGTGCCAAAGTGAAAGGAATGATCAATATCATGAGTAGAGTTTTAGCGTTTTTGTATTTGAAACAAGTGCACATTTGGAAAGACTGCTGATGTGTCAGGCAATTGCAGTGGGATAAATATAATAAGTGTACTTGAATAAAGCTTTTTCAATGCCAGAAGTTCATAGGAGAGTACGTCTTGACAGTAAATTAATGGCATGGTAATATCTGCTCCTTTATCAATATAGTGCATCCAGTCATTGCCTTGAGAAACTCTGTATTTCTACAGGGTAGTTAATTATTTTTATTCGATTAATCTTAATATCTCCTGTACCAAACAAATGTCACACTCAGAAGTGTACTCTATTTTATCCAGGCTCATGAAATCTCACTATTTTCCCATTTCTTATTAATAGTTTTAGTCGTGCTGTTTGCTGCATTGAAGAGGCAAAGGAAAAAGGAACCTCTGATAATTTCAAAAGACGATGTCCGGGACAACATCGTCACCTATAACGACGAAGGCGGTGGGGAAGAAGATACCCAGGCTTTTGACATTGGCACATTAAGAAATCCAGAGGCAAGAGAAGACAGTAAACTTAGACGGGATGTAATGCCCGAAACTATTTTTCAGATAAGGAGGACTGTGCCTCTATGGGAAAATATTGATGTACAAGATTTTATCCATCGAAGACTAAAAGAAAACGACGCAGACCCAAGCGCACCTCCATATGATTCACTGGCAACGTATGCCTATGAAGGGAATGATTCCATAGCAGATTCGCTCAGCTCTTTAGAATCCCTCACAGCTGATTGTAACCAAGATTATGATTACCTCAGTGACTGGGGGCCTCGTTTTAAAAAACTTGCCGATATGTACGGGGGTGATGATAGTGACCGAGACTAAGAGGATTGTTTGACTTGATCAATATTAGTGGAAGTACTGTCTATGTTATTAGATTGAGTGGCCTGCATTCTCTTCCCGGGAGGAAATTTTTCAAAAATTGAAATTACAAACAATACGTAGGTGTTGTCTTAGTAGGGATTTGCTTAATCAGTAAGTTTTCGTGAATGAATACGAATGATATAGATTTTTTAAAAAATAATAACCAGTTCACCCTCTTTGCCTAACAATCTCGGAAGGAAATATATCGCATCAATAATCAATAAAAATACTTAAAAGGCTTTTTGTGCCTTTTCTTAGGTATAATAATTTATAAATGTTTTCTTAACTGACTTTCAGTCACCTTTACTATTAAACTAAACATTGTGCAACCGCTTTGTAAATTAATATGGAAAAGATATATCCCTAATGACATAGGAATGACTATTACTGCCATATTTATTTAGTTGAAGAATGTCTTTGTGTTAATTCATTCATATTTTTATAAATGTATATTTATATTTTTGTATTTTTATGAAATAAACTAGTATTTATAAAATACATTTCATTTTATTTAATTCCTAGAGGCAGATCTGATCTCATTTATAACAAAAATGTTTTACACCTTTAAATGTAAAACATGGTTCACTCAGGGAATAAGCAGTTCAGAAACTACTGCATGGATTTGGACCTACAATGTAGTGAAACTATAAAATAACTTTGGTACCAATTGTTATTTTTCCGTTTCATCACTTAAATATTGACTAATGTTTATAGAACCACTGATGTCTAACCATCAATAGAGTATGAGACACATTTGGAATATAAAATATTATATATATATAGTTGTGGATAATAAACTTTAAGTGTTTTTTTTTTGCAAGTCTTTACTTTACTATGGGATCAACCAGTGGATTATATTTGAGAGTAAATGAAGTATGTGTCAGTAATGTTATGTAGACATAGAAAAAATCGAAATCAATCTTCTCTCAGTAGTATAGTTTTCAAAATGAGAAATCATAGTTCTGATTTTTTTTTTTTTCTTCATGATGAGGCAATTCATGGGATATATGCTCAGGTGTGCGTAACATGTTTAAAATGTGTATTGAAGAGTAGAGAGTTTGTTTTTAAATTTATTTTTTTATTGAGGAAATTCCAAGTCATTATAGTTGAGAAAGTTTTGAAAAAGCTAAGGAAAAGTAGAGAAAAGAGACTTAAAAGAATGTGATGGTTTCCTAATTATTGCGATTGTTCAGAAAATAGAATATAGGCACCTCAAACCATGGGAAAGAAGAAGAGATGGGAATCGTAAGCAATCATCATCTGCGATATTTGAAAGACTGCCGTGTATAATCTGGCCCTGATATGGCTCACAGTATAAAATTTCAACCAAGATATGGGAACTTCACAGAGAGATTGCATGTTATCTATTTTCTGTGCCAAGAATTAACCTTTTATTCCTCTTCAATTATTCATAGTTTAGGCAGCAAATGTCATGCTTATGGTGATTCCTAGGTGGAATTCATATAGGAGAAATTTAACTTTGTCTAGTCTGTTACCAAGAGGTTTTAAGGAGCAAATACCAAATTATAAACATGTACTTATTTGTTGTTATATCACTATGTTGTAAAGTTTTTGTAGACCAAGACTAACTCAAGAACTTTATCTTCGATATGTAGCACACATTAAATATTTATTAAGATTTAATTCAACGCTAAGAAAAAGACATACTGGACTATTGAGAATTACTTGATATATTTCTCAGGACACAATCACCCAGAAAACAGAAAGATTTTTAGTTTTAGTTTTGATTAGATAATTTTAGTTTTACCTTAGAAAGGAATTAGTTTCCTCATTGCCAAAGCTCATCCATCATAGATAGACAAATACCTAATAGGATATATAGAGTGACTTGAGGTAATTAAAAAATAAGTTAGACATTGAGCAAGGCATCTTATAATCACTTTGTTCTATAATCACTACAAGGTTAAATAACAATAAGTAAATCAATTCTAAGAAGACCTATACTGACTGTCCATGTAGTGGTTGTTTAAAAAACGAAGACATTATGTGGCGGGAGAGTTGAATAAATTGGTAGTTACATAGCTTGCCTGGGCTTACCATGCTTGAAATACTAAGAGCACTTCAACAAACGAACTTACCTACAAGGTGTAGATCTGTGATTGACATGAGAGAGTAATATTGTCATTAGATAGAATAAAACATTAAATATTTTAACTTGCAAAATATTATTTGGCTGTCTCTTTTTGAGAACTAATGAAGTTAGTTTCAAAGTTCTCCCTTTCCTTGATCTGTGAAATGACTGACCTATGGTAGTCATTGTAAGAAGCACAGAGCTAGAAGAATTAATATTAACTGGTATGTGATTGTTTTTATATACCTGACTTAAATGCTATGAATCAGATGATCTGATTGAATCAAGGAAATTAACAGATCTGTGTAACACTAATACTTCCTATCCTTTTCCAATAATCTATGAAATGTCCATAGTAGGTAAAATGCATTCAGGAGCCAGATGGACCAGATTTTATTATTTCCTTACTAGTAAACTAAATGAATCATTGAAATTCTTCAGGAAAACACACATCACAACATTCACCCTATTGGATTTGGAATTTATTTTACTAGATGCACATAATATCCTCAGTAAGATTTGATTCTATTACATTATTCTCATGAACTATGGGGTTGTTAAATGTTGAAGATAATTTATTCTTAATGTGTACTTGCCAAACTAAATTAATTAGCTCTGATTATTTCAAACTAAAATAGTATTAAATTAAAATCAATTGAGTAACCATTATCCCAAATATAAACTTAATTTCATTTTTTTATTTAGAAAGTTCAATAATTTTCAGAATATGTCTACATTTATATCTGAATTTCTTTCAGTATGAATAACCTATCTACACTATTTGCATGTTAATACACAGTCTGGATATTATTCCATTCAATTTTGCTCTCAAGCACATTGAATCGATTTCAATGACTTAAATACCAAACTTAGCAAAGAAAATAAAATAGTATTAACAATAAAAGCAAGCAAACAAACAGGAACAAAAAAGTAATAATATCTTACCTTAGTAGTGGTGGATATTGATCATTCCTGTCACTTTGGCACAAGTATCATAATTAGCCTCCGGAATTCTTTATTCTGTTGGTTGTACTTTAACTTTATCCAATCTTCTTTATTGGTTCTTTCTCTTCTTTTCTAGCTCTCTATTTTAGAGTTGTCCAGGCTTTTTTCTTTTCTGGTTAAATTCAAGTCTCTGGTATTCTTACCGATTTTCCATGTTACTATACCTGTCTATATCTATATCTGTATCTAAGATATAGATTGAAATTTTCTGATTTTATACCTCCCACTTTCACCTCTATGTAATAATTCAAACTATTCTAAATTTCTACTTGAATAAACATATCAAAAGTAACATGTCCAAATTTTAATTACTAATTTTCACTCCTATCTTTTCTCAGCTTGCCCCATCTCAGTTAATGTCAGCTCTATCCTTCTAATTGTCCATGCCATAAACCAAGCAGTCAATCTTCATTCATTTCAATCTGTTATCTTCCATATCTAATACTGTAGAAAATCCTATGAATGATACCTTCAAAATTTAACTGCTATACAATGATCTTTCATCATATCACCTGCTACAATGCTGGTCTAATAACCATACTTGGATTATTGCAGTGTTCTTCTAAGTGTTTCTTCTCACTAGCTTCTGCTCCTGCCATCTATTTTCAACCCAATACAGAGCAGATATGTTTTTTTTTTTTAACTAGATAAGTTTGGACATCTCACTTCTCTTTTCAGAACTTACCAATTGTTCACTTGCAGTGAGAGACAGTCCTCACAGTGGCCTCTAAGGACCGGTCAGATCAGATTCCCATTATTTCTCTGATAAATTATTCTCATTTCTTTCATTCATTTTAATTCGATTATCCTGGTCTCCTTGTTTTACCTCAAAACTGGCTAGCACTTTTTTTTTTCCATTCGATTGACTTTCTCTGGAATAATCTTTCCTTGGATATCCACAAAGTTAACTTCATAACTACGTTCAAGACCACTTTTTAATGTGACTTTCTTAGTGAGAACTACATTGGCCAGTCTAATTAAAATCACAATCCTCTCCCATTCTGTAGGTTGCCTGTTCACTCTGATGGTAGTTTCTTTTGCTGTGCAGAAGCTCTTTAATTTAATCCCATTTGTCAATTTTGGCTTTTGCTGCCGTTGCTTTTGGTGTTTTAGACATGAAGTCTTTGCCCATGCCTATGTCCTGAATGGTACTACCTAGGTTTTCCTCTAGGATTTTTATGGTATTAGGTCTAACATTTAAGTCTCTAATCCATCTTGAATTAATTTTCGTATAAGGAGTAAGGAAAGGATCCAGTTTCAGCTTTCTACTTATGGCTAGCCAATTTTCCCAGCACCATTTATTAAATAGGGAATCCTTTCCCCATTTCTTGTTTCTCTCAGGTTTGTCAAAGATCAGATGGCTGTAGATGTGTGGTATTATTTCTGAGGACTCTGTTCTGTTCCATTGGTCTATATCTCTGTTTTGGTACCAGTACCATGCTGTTTTGGTTACTGTAGCCTTGTAGTATAGTTTGAAGTCAGGTAGCATGACGCCTCCAGCTTTGTTCTTTTGACTTAGGATTGTCTTGGAGATGCGGGCTCTTTTTTGGTTCCATATGAACTTTAAAGCAGTTTTTTCCAATTCTGTGAAGAAACTCATTGGGAGCTTGATGGGGATAGCATTGAATCTATAAATTACCTTGGGCAGTATGGCCATTTTCACGATATTGATTCTTCCTATCCATGAGCATGGTATGTTCTTCCATTTGTTTGTGTCCTCTTTTATTTCACTGAGCAGTGGTTTGTAGTTCTACTCATCTGACAAAGGGCTAATATCCAGAACCTACAAAGAACTCAAACAAATTTACAAGAAAAAAACAAACAACCCCATCAAAAAGTGGGCAAAGGATATGAACAGACATTTCTCAAAAGAAGACATTCATACAGCCAACAGACACATGAAAAAATGTTCATCATCACTGGCCATCAGAGAAATGCAAATCAAAACCACAATGAGATACCATCTCACACCAGTTAGAATGGCGATCATTAAAAAGTCAGGAAACAACAGGTGCTGGAGAGGATGTGGAGAAATAGGAACACTTTTACACTGTTGGTGGGATTGTAAACTAGTTGAACCATTATGGAAAACAGTATGGCGATTCCTCAAGGATCTAGAACTAGATGTACCATATGACCCAACCATCCCATTACTGGGTATATACCCAAAGGATTATAAATTATGCTGCTATAAAGACACATGCACACGTATGTTTATTGCAGCACTATTCACAATAGCAAAGACTTGGAATCAACCCAAATGTCCATCAGTGACAGATTGGATTAAGAAAATGTGGCACATATACACCATGGAATACTATGCAGCCATCAAAAAGGATGAGTTTGCGTCCTTTGTAGGGACATGGATGCAGCTGGAAACCATCATTCTTAGCAAACTATCACAAGAACAGAAAACCAAACACCGCATGTTCTCACTCATAGGTGGGAACTGAACAATGAGATCACTTGGACTCAGGAAGGGGAACATCACACACAGGGGCCTATCATGGGGAGGGGGGAGGGGGGAGGGATTGCATTGGGAGTTATACCTGATGTAAATGATGAGTTGATGGGTGCAGCACACCAACATGGCACAAGTATACATATGTAACAAACCTGCACGTTATGCACATGTACCCTACAACTTAAAGTATAATAATAATAAATAAATTAAAAAAATAAATAAATAAAATAAAAAAATAAAATCAAAGCTGATAAAAAAATAAATAAATAAAATCACAATCCTCCACACCCATTTCTCCTTTCTCTATTTTTAAAAATAATTGTTTGCCACAGCACATATTACCAATCAACTTGATATAGAATTTGTTTATCCTTTAATTTTTTGTGTGTCTACTGTTACTAAAATGCTTGATCTCTCTGGACAATAATTTTTATAGATATTATTCATTAAAGTATCTCATGTGCCCAGATTGTTGTTTCATACCTTGTTGGCATGCAGCAAATACTTGCTCAATGTTGAACAAAATGCTCAGTATTTATATATGAGCATTTTAAAAATTTTGTGAAATATTATAAATACATGGGAGATGAAAAAATCAAATGTGTCTGGTCATGGTGGCTCATGCCTATAATCACAGAACTTTGGGAGACTGAGGTGGCAGAATTGCTGAGGTCAGGAGTTCGAGACCAGCCTGGGCAACACAGGGGAAAACCTATTTTACATATTAAAAAAAAATAGCTAGGTGGAGTTGTCCGTGCCTGTAGTCCTAGTTAATTTGAAGGCTGAGTCAGGAGGACCGCTTGAGCCCAGGAGTTCAAGGCTGCAGTGGGCTATAATCACACCACTGCACTCCAGCCTAAGCAACAGAGCAAGACCCTGTCTCAAACATACATACACACACACAGAAACATATGTGAAAAAAGGGAAAATTATACTCAAATTTATAGCAATGTACCTGCCTTCAACACAATATTGAATATACTCTAGATTGTTAAATTGAAATATAGTTTACTAAATTCTGGTTGATCACAATTAAATTATTATTTGAAAAAATCTTTTAAAAAGTTCTGAAAAACTTGAATAATTTTTCAAGTTAAAAAATAAAAACTTGACACAACTAAAGCTGTATTTAATCATCTTGGTTTCTAAAAGATAATGGTAATGGAATTTTACTGCATTTCAGACCATCAATTCTAAATGTCAGAATCAAACACAAGCGCACACAGAGAAGGAATAAAATATGTATATCCTTCTCTTCTGCAGTCATAATTAACTTTACGACAGCCTAGTCACTGGGCAGCTCTTAGCCCACTGTTGTCTTGTACTTGGGTCGTGTGATACGGTTTCTGGCAAGCTGAACAGTTAAGCTCTAAGAAAATGTTGTCTTACTTAAATATGCTTAATTTCTTCCCAAATTTCAATAAAAATATTGGGACTTTTTTTTTTAAGAATAAATACATTTAAATAATTGTTTATAATGCAGGGGAAATATCAGCTACTTCAATCTGTATGGTGAAAATAGCAGCCAGACGCATTGGCTCACGTCTGTAATTCCAGAACTTTGGGAGGCAGAAGCAGGCAGATCACCTGAGGCCAGGAGTTTCAGACCAGCCTGGCTAACAT